ACTGAAGGGCCCTTAAAAGGCACAAGAGGCCCTCAGAATCCGGCGTGGGGCCCTTAAAGAGATCTTAGTGTGGCAATTTAGGGTCCATGAGGTGCTCTAATGAGCCCCATGGGGCCCTTCGATATGGCCATTGTTAACCACCAGTGGTCAAATGGCGCCGCAGGGCCCCTCGGACCCGAGGCTCCCTTTGAACCCGATGGGGAGGTGGGGTACGTGTCCCCTTAGACCCCTAGCTACGCCACCGTTTCATATGCATCATGTCAGGTATTTTATATGCTCGCCCCCCTTGAAAATCGTTCCCGGGCCCCTAGGAATTTTCCTTTGACACCCAAGCCAAAATACAATTTTGGGACACTGAGGGGAACTCCCAGTCCTAACAACGCATACTGACTTACTTCATTTTAGCTATTAATGATAGTAACTGACCTGTATGTTCGATGTTCATTCGCTGTTTTGCAGGAGAAAGGTCATATCATATTCTATAGCGACAAGTAGAAATAATTTGCTAAGAAATAGACCGCTTTGAAGATAGTTACAGACGATTTAAAAACCCTCAGCAGCAGCAGCAGCAGCAGCAGCAGCAAACCAATGTTGAAAACACGTCTAACGTTAGAGTTGACAAGATTTCATTTTTTCTCTTCGGGCTTCGCCTAACGATTTTATCACAATGTTATTACTATCTTAGCATCTTACTTTCCACCAGCATTGCCCTCATGTCCCTATTGGTGGAACCAGATATCCCCTCAAAAATGCCGATATCGCCATGCCCAAGCGTTCACTATCCACCCTATCGGGTCCCCTAGAACCTCCATTAACAGATATGTTCCGGGCCCCGTACATGGAATAACGTACCTTTCAAAACCCCGGCCAGCTTGGCCTATACCTGACGATGTCCCGTAAGACCTGCTACGCAGCACCACTGGAGCAAGATGAGCTGGGAGGGGTCGGACTCCCTCAGCTGACGTGGGAGCTGTGAAGGAATCCTCCAGCGGCCGAAGAAGACTCTGGCAAAGCGGGCCGGCCCCGCCGAGTGTGCCGATTCGTCGCCGTTCAGAGTCTGATGCCAACCATCAAGCCATGGAAGAAAAAAAATAGATTGTGTCACATAACCATTTTTAGCCGAAATCTCGTATCAAAAAGGGGCTATATACGAGTATACTGGCGCCATTTATCTGACAATGCGTGTGATGACATATCGGCAGGATATGCATATTGCAGATGTCGCTTATGCATGCCTTGGCAATGCCCTATTGACCAACGACAAGGAAGGCACCTCACTCTGGCAAAAAAAAAAAAAAACTATTTACAAACGCCACTACCATAAAAAACGAAACACAGTTAACTCGTACCTCAATGCAGATTGAGAGCCACACAATCACGGGCTATCCTAAACCTGCATCCTAGAAAATGGCATACCTACTGCAGCCTTTAAACATGGGTGTGAAAACTTCCTCTGGGTAATAGCCTGTAACTTACTAGGCTATCGCTAATGCATCTCAAAACCACCTTACATAATTCCCCATCTAATCCATACTATCTTAGTCCGCCGAGACTTATCACACCCAAACTGGGTTCCACTGTATCATCACCTCTGTACCTCTGTATCACCCACTAAACCTTTCATCCCAACCTAACACCAGATAACAATGCCATCTTAGACCAATACCATTGCATTGGTTATCCTTACAATGAACTCCATTTACCCTCTCAAGTCTCACCCGGCAGTTGGTACCCTTGTTATCAACAATCCCTAGCCCACTAATGAAAACCCCGCTCGGACACGCTCGGACAGAGCCAACATCACCAGCAGCTCATTCTCCACGGGGTACGCCCACCTGGCACACCTTACGCCAGTAACCGTTCACCTGTATGGGAACCACAGTTCAACCAACACCAGGCACCACAAAACGGCAATTATACCAACTCTCTGCACAACCACCGGCCAACACCACGTGGCCACCAAACCCTACGCCGGCCAGGCCGTGCACTCTGAGCTGCTACACCGAGAAAACATGAGCTGATTTCACTCACACGGAGTGTAGAATGGCAAAGTCCGGGCGTTCCGTTCCAGGGAAGAAAAAAAAAACAGTTACAGCTATGTTTCACCTAGCAAATACCTACACTCCATCTCCCAAAATCTGAAAAAAACACACCAAGACTATTCCTACCAGCAGTCCAAGTTTCGTTGTTTTATCTAACCTTCAAAGAACCTATAATACCGGGCATTTGCCGACCCATTGCTCATCGACCCTTTTCTTACCGTGATAGCATAACATTAGCACAAAATAACCAAACCTCATGCCGAAAATGAAAAAAAATCAGATAGAAACAACAAACCAGTAAAAAATAAACAAAAACCCCGAAAGAAAAAAAAAAACATCCTCGTCAATCAATATAGCATTTATATAAAAACTGAACCTATACTCCCCTTGATGTCTTCCAGTTTCCACTGAACACGACCGCAGTAAACGCAAAAACATTACAGAGCGAGAACACTGCTGACTTGCGTCAGACCGGGCGGCTTAGAACAGAGTGACCGCGCAAATGCACTCAAACCCCGCGCCGTCACCGTCACGTGACACGAGTCGCTCCGCCAATCAGAGGAGGCCGCCGCCTTAGCGGCCTTGCCGCCCGGGGGCGCAGGCGGCCGCCCGCCTGCCGCCGAACGCTGCTCGCAGATGCCGGCCCGGCTCCGGGGCCGACCCAGAGAAGACGCTCGTAGTGTCGCGGAAAAACCGGTTATATCTTGTCATATATAACCGGGCGTATTTCGAGTTGGTTTAGGTGAGGCGGCCGAATATTCCAGTAATTAGTATGGCACATATTTATAATGACCCATTTCCCTTATGCAGCTCCGACAAAAATGAGCTCTACGGGACAAAAAGTGCGCATTGAGCTACATGCATATAGCTATCCTTCTCTCTATTCCCGTCCCCTATTTTCTTCCTTCTCTTCCCAGAGTAGCCAGCCATGCATCAGTCCACACTCTCAGCGTAGCGGCACCGGCTCATGAGCTCGGTCAGGTGCCGGCAGTGACTGCAACGTTTATCCGTGGTTTACCGACCGACTGTTTATTATTTACACCTCTGACCTCTGACCTGCACCTCCCTGACCTCTGGCGAACACCCTGTGGACCCGTTCCTCCTTCTGAGCTGACCCCGGGTCGGTGCGCTTCGCCGAGTGCCTCGGTGCCGTGCGGCGGCGCCGGTCGGCGCTCCAGCCCCCTGGTCGTCGCGCTCGACGTCTGGCCAGTGATCAATCACTTCGCCAAGTCATCAGACCTCCGGCCGATCGCCGGCGACATTGTACGAAACTCAGGAGCAATTCTGACGCTGCTAGGGCCGAATCAATCACGGCACGAACCGGCCACCCGTGCCGTGCCCGTCGCTCATTGGGCTCGCTCTAATGCCCCAGGAAGCGTGTCGCTAGGGCGGAGTTCCAGACTATGTTCGTTACCCGGAATTTCCAGTCTGGTCATTTACACGGATTTTCGGTGACACGGCACTCTAAGCCGTGACCAGTGACCACTGGCCGTATGACAGCATTTCTAAGCGTGTCCATTTTAAAATTACCGGGTGTGCACTCCTTGCGCTGTGAACTCTGAGTGCTGTAGCCAGGAGGTAGGTACTCGGAGTTCCAGGCCGTGTTTTAGACCGCCGCGGTGCCAGGAATACTGTGATAAAAATGAATGAGTGATAAGATAGGCAGCTATGTCTGATGAGAAAGAGCCGTTTAATTAGTTAGCCGAGCCGAGACAGATCGCTCATATTCGCTGTATGCACATTTGGCTTACCTCACCTCAGGCTGTTCACGTTGTAATCACTTTCCTACTGATGAAAGGAACTCACAATTATGTAAAATTGCCCTCGTGGGGCATAATTGCTGCAATAAATGAGAACCGGCTACAGCGCTAAGCAAATGAAGCGCAATTTAATGAGCAATGGGCATCCTGAAAAGTATATCGGGGCTAAGAACTTTCATAATTGTCGGTCCTTGGAAGTGAACCTTAGTCTTACTGCTGTTGCCATGCATAGGGAAGCAGCACTTTTTGGTAGTAGATAGATAGCTTTGAAATACGCAGTTAGACCTACAAATATATCTATGACGCACACGTTACGGTGATCTCTTTGGCCCAAATCTATTTTATTACTTAATTCAAAATCCTTTCAGAAACGTTTCAAAAGAAAGTTGACGACAAATATCCTGGAATGGAATCCTCATATTTGCATCAATGACATTTCAGTCCTGCCTAAAAGGAACGTCAACTGGATACCAGTGTTTTGGTGCATCGATATAACACGATACAACACTATATCCATTTTTCAATTTCATATTTGGAATTTCAAGCCTAGAACTGTTGGCATAAAACTGTCGGTTCTATAAATCTTAGGGGTTGCCTCGGTTAGCCTTAGCTACATGTCGCGCGCTTTCTTTGCTCGCTGGCATGTAGTTTTCTACGCTGTTGGTTTTTGTTTGCAGTTCATTCCGTCGCCAAAGGCATGCAGTGCTTTCCGGCGCCGTCGTGACTTTAGCCATCAGCACACATACTGCTGGCGGCACACTCCGAATGAGTAGACAATTTCCGGCGGTTCTGCAGAGCCAACGGCCGCCCAGAAATGCAAAGCAGGGTCAAGAAGGCGTAATTGGTGCGTCAAGCTGAAAAGTTTTAGACGACAAATGACCTTATGAGGTGCAAAAAGTGTGTCGTGATACGGCGGCAGTAGGAGCGGTCGAAACGAGCGGTGCAGTTACGTTCACTGCCGCGATTTCCTTTTGACCTGAACCGGTCACCGCTTTCCTCGTCTTCATAAGTCGCATCTTACTAGATAGTTAAATGTTTTCAAATTAAATATAGTTTAAATATAGTTTAATTGTATCCTAGCTAGAGATAAAAGCAATTTGCTTTAACATGCACAAAATACCTGGACTTATACATACGGTGCAGCACTTCTGTCTACAGCTCACCCTCTGACTGATGCTTTGCTCTGTTTCCCTCGCAGGTGTCCTGGGTGCGGAAGCGGGACCTGCACATCCTGACTGTCGGCATGTTTCCGTACACGACCGACACTCGCTTCAAGGCGCTGCACTCGGACGGCACTCAGGAGTGGACACTCAAGGTGCTGGGTGCCACAATCGCCGACAGCGGCGTCTACGAGTGCCAAGTGAGCACTCAGCCCAAGATGAGCCTGAGCTTCACCCTACAGGTGGTCGGTAAGTGGCCTACGATCGGTGTCCGGTGACGAGTGACCCACTCCAGTGTCAGTGATCAGTGACCCACTAATGACCTACAATCTTACTTTAAGCTTCATGACCTTGGCATTGATATTCTGAACAAATGCACAAAGACATTGTCTGATGTCCACTACCATTAATTTACATACGAGTTCACAGAAATCGACAAATAATTCGACATCATTTTTTTAATGTATTCAAATATAGAATCATGGATAATTATAATAAATATTTTCCTTCAAAATATATCATTGAACATAAGCTTTAAATCACGTCTTTTTTAAATAAACCCAGCAATCCTGCATCACCTGCTATGACATCATTTCAGATAATTCAGTAACGGTTTGTGGACCTGCTCGTCTATCTAACGCAGTTCTCTTGGTACGACCAGTGAATTAATTAAAACAGCCAATAGCTCTGGCCAATTGAGATAACGTCTCATACATTCTAGTTTCCCTGCAAATCTTGCCAAAATCTGGCGTACGATCCCGTACCGCTCTGAGGAGCCGGAAGCGGCCGCTCGAGAGCTCGACATGGGGTGATATATCTCTTGCAGTGCATCGGCTCTTTCTGTCGGTCTGCGGCCCCCTCCCATCCCCTCCTCCTCCATCTGCCTGCCCCGGCCACCACTTGAAAAGACAGCGGAACGGACAGCTCGCTCCCAGCCGCCGGCCGGCCCCGGTGTTATTCGCCCGTTTGAAAAAGGAGCAGAAGATAATAGTGGCTCAGTTCGCCATTCTGACGGCAGGAGAATAAAGCAGTCGGAATTGCTAATGGTTTGAATATTATAGTTAATCTTATTATAAACTTAAGTGACAGATATGAACTTTTATTGCCTTGGCTTAAGACCTGACTATGACACCTATTTTAACCAGACATCAGCATGCATTTCCCTACGCTATGGCTATTAGATCCGAAATTATCATTTATTACCTTTCCCACTTCAGAATCGAAAAATCATAATCTCCCTTCTTTCTATCTCTCCTCTCCCTCTCCCTCCCTCTCTCTCTCTCTTTACCTCCCTCTCCCTCCTCTCTCTTCCTCCTTTCTCTCTCTTTCTTTCACTCTTCCTCACTCCTCCTCTCTCTCTAAAATTTATTGCTGTTAAATGCTGAGTGTATGGATTCTTTCTTTCCAGGCCGAGAATCCTGAGCTCGCTGACATATTTTTCGTTCGTACGAACGGTTAATACTCCTTCGCCGGGCCGAAAATTGTTGAGCGTGCTGGCTTTTGGGGTTCTGTCTCGGCTCTGGGCTGTGGGTGCAGCGCTGGGGCGGCGGCGAACTGTCGGAAAGCGGTCGAGGAGCCGACCACCAATGGCGACGGTCACATTCAATGAGCCCACTTCTATTCAGCGCTAGCGTCGCCTCCCATAAGGCGCAGATTGTCGGAGGAGGGCAGCTGCTTCAGGGTCATGGGGTCAGACTCGGGGAGAGAGGGAGGGTCTGGTGATTTGGGAGAGACAAACGAGCGAACTTGTCCTGAGTGATACCCCAGGTCACGGCTTCAATTCGGTTAGTGGCAAGAGATGCTTTGCATGGAGACAGCAGTGGTATTTGGCGACTACGCTTTGTGGGTCTATCGGGTCACATGCCAGCTAGAACTTTGTAAGTTATCAGTGTCAACATACAAAGGCTTTTATTCCTACATTAATTGCTACACCATAGCGCGAACAACTTACATACAGAACAAAGCGAATTCACCAGCTTGACAACGAAGGCTTATTAGCTGGCGTGGTTATTTAAAAGAAGTTGTGTTCCGCCAAGTGGTCGTGCCTTATCGCTCGGGCTGGCCAATTTATGTTGGCATCCCACGCAAGCGGTCACCCTTATTGTGCACGCTGACAGCTTTTCCATGAAATGGCCCATGGCAGCCATCGGGCCGCCGCTAAGGCGGCTGCATTACAAAGCCCACGCGCCGGGCAGCACATTGTGTGGTGTCGCCGGACCGGCCGCTCAGCCGGCCATGTGGGACGGTGCACGGCGCCGCCGGAATTCGGCCGGCGATCGTCAAACGGCCGCCGGATCTGTACGGCTCATGGAGCAATAACGGGCCAGATGATCAGCAATAACGGCCAGATGATCAGTGCGGACAGCCGGACTCTGGCCACCGGCGAGCCAAATTTGACAGCGCCCGACCCGAGCGGGACGTATATTGGTCTCTGTGACATGGCACGACGCCATCGCTGTCAGAGGTACAGCAATGAATGGAGACGTATGACAGGTCTGCAGCAAAACGACACACGTATTTATGAATACGCAGCACAACAGTTTTCCAAGGCCATTGAGTTTCCAACATACGAATCTTGAAATGAAATTCTCGTAGTGAGGGTTTATGGTCTGCAGCTCAAGCAGTGAACGTTGAGACTCACAACTGACGTCTGTAAGCCTCAAGGCCATTTTAGTGGACATTAAACTGTTCAAGTGCCGTACATAGGTGGAACCAAGCAGCGTTGCAGTGTGCTTATGGACTAATTAGCTATAAAGGCCACCCAAGGGAAATGTTAGTGAGGTGACTCAGTCGAGTTGCTGCAAAATTTGTCAGACTTCAGTACACGATAATTTTTGACATAACACGGGGGTTTGCTGTCGGCAACTATGAAATTAGTTATGAGTTATGACTGCGAGAGGAAAGCATATTTTAATAATCAATTTGACAATATGGTTTTAGCTTTGATGAAGGAGTTTCATTACAGTGAATGTACATTGTACATTTCACTATTCATACGCATCAGTACATATCCGTCTGAACTGTGCTATATTTGATCATTCTGTTTGGCCTTATCGATAAGGCTCATCAGCCCAGCTTTTGCTGTTGGTATCAAACTATGCAAATAATTCAAATATGTGCCCGTCAGACGATATGAATCCGCGTGAAAGAAATAAGGCAAGTTCATATTAGAACATTGATTCAACAGTTGTCTTATCAAAAGGTCAGTCTAAGTATAGTGCGCGGCACATGGGAACTGTAAAGTCCGCGTCCTCGATAGGCCTGTATTGGCTGGCTGCCCGGCACCGACTGACCCAGCCGGCCAGGAATTGGTCGGCGGTCACAAGATCACGTGATCACAGAGGAGGGCGGGGCGCCACTCGCTACAGTGCGGACAGGCCGGCACGGCACTTAATACACTCAGACACTACACCTCCCCGACACCAAAATGACACATTGAACGAGTCAATGGTCAGAGTTAACAAAACAAAATTAACTGAATCAGTCACGGTTTCTACCGGATAGAATCACGGCACATCAGTGTCCGAAACGATCAGGCGCTCGCCTCACGCGCACAGGATAGCGCCTTTCTTCCCCATCGGCATCCCTCGCTCCCACGCCGTCAGCGACGCGGGCGGGAGACGCGGTTCGGCGGTCCTCGGGTGGCCGAACAGAGTCCCCCGGCTCGTCGACGTCGACAGGGGACGCAGGCCGCACCGCCTCTGCGCCTCCTCCTGGCGAGGCCAGGGCAGTGTCCAGCGGAGTAGCGGCATGCGAGCCGCCGGCGGAGCCAGAGCGCGCTCCAACACCAGGGCGCGGCGAGTCCGGATGGCTGTCGCTCGGCTCCAGGGATCCACGACATCGGCTGGGGGAAAAAGTCGGCACCCGCGTCAAGGACACGGAATCGTTCTCGCCCTCGCGCGAGCGTGCTGCGGGACATGATCGTGGGCGAAGCTGATTGATGTGTCTCTTACAGATGTCACCAGTGTCGAAACGCACTGTAAACATCGGGTGAAAGCATCTGACAATCGAGGCTGGACGCCAAAACGCCTTACCCTGACGGTAGTAGCGAGCGAGCACCATATCTCCTGGAGACAGCGTTGGCCGGCTGGTAGGGTGACGCTTCTTGTGCTGCTGAACTTGGGTGGACTGCTTCATCCTGACGTTGCGCTCCAGACTGGGCTTCAGGCGGTCAAATCGCGTCACCGGCTGGTAGCCCAGCAGGAGCCGTGAAGGCGTTTCACCGGTCGTGGCATGCCGGGTGGTTCTGTAGAAAAACAGCCATTTTGAGATACGATCACTTACTTGATCAGCTGACATCTTGTTGAGCCGAATCTTCAGCTCTCGCACCGCTCTCTCAGCCAGCCCGTTGGAAGACGGCATGTATGGAGCGGTTGTCCTGTGAACGATTGCATTTCTGGTGAGGAAAGTCTGGAATTCCTCACTGGTAAAAGTAGGTCCGTTGTCTGACACTATCATGTCAGGAAGCCCAAAGCGACTGAATATGGCAGTGAGACGAGAAATCGTAGCCTGAGCAGTGATCGACGTCATCTCTTCAACCTCGATCCATTTTGAAAATGCGTCAACTAACACCAGATAGTACCTTCCACGCACAGGCCCAGCAAAATCAACATGCAGGCGAGACCAAGGACGCTGCGGCCACTCCCATGGATGGAGTTCTTCCTGTGATGGATCGGGACGGTGGAGCTGACAGATATCACATCCGGACGACATTTGCTCTATATCTCGATCAATTCCGGGCCACCAGACTGCGGACCGAGCCATAGATTTCATTTTTACGACACCGAAATGACAGGCGTGCAACTCAGCTAAGACGGTGCTGCGGGCTTTTGGTGGGATGACTACACGATCACCCCACATGATGACATTGCCTAGCTCGTACAGCTCAGCTTGACGGGCACTGTAAGGCCGCAATTCATCGCCCGGTTCGCGTGCCCAACCAGTCCTAATGCAGCGAACCACCTTGCAAAGAACAGGGTCTCGTGCTGTCATCACTCCCAATTTTTCTGGGCTCAGACTTCCTATATCCTCTAACTGAGTCGTTAGGAGCACTCTTTCTGCCTCTGTATCATCGCTGACGGGCATGTCTAATGCCGAGCCCGTCGGCAGTCTACTGAGGCAGTCGGCGTGAGGAATGTCACGAGTAGATTTGTGACGAATAGTGAAGGAAAACTCTGACAGTCGAAGAGCCCACCTCTTTAGCCTGCTGCTGGTCATCTCTGGCATGCTTCTCGTCTCCCCAAACAAAGCTAGAAGAGGCTTGTGATCCGTTTCCAAAATAAAGTGCAGTCCGTACAAGTACTCACGGAACGCAGTAACGCCGAAGATAATTCCCAATGCCTCGCGCTCAATCTGGCTATACCGAATTTCGGCAGAGTTCAGGGATCGAGATGCAAACCCAACCGGTTTTTCTGTGCCGTCTGTGAACCGGTGCGACAGCACAGCGCCGATGCCCCTGGAGGACGCGTCACAGGTGAGTACCAGGGGTACATCTGGGTTATAATGCACTAAAATGCGATCGGAGGCGAGCAGTCGTTTGCACTCATCGAACGCATTTTGTTCTCGTTTTCCCCATGTCCATCCAACATTTTTCTTCAGCAAGGAGAAAAGCGGGCTAAGCACGTGAGCGCGACCTGGCATGAATTTTGAGTAGTAGTTTACCATTCCAAGGAATGATTGCAGCTCTTTTGCGTTCTTTGGCGTCGGGACACCGAAAATGGCATCGAGCTTGGCCTGGGTTGGCCGAACACCATCTTTGCTAATCACGTGTCCCAGATATTCTACTGATGGCACGAAGAAGCTACACTTGTCCTCTCTCACCTTGACGCCAGCGTCCTGGAAACGCCGCAGCACCTCCTCCACAGTCTTCAGCAGCTCCACTTCGTCGCACCCAGAGACGAGCACGTCGTCCAGGAAGACGAACACATTCTGCAGACCGGCCAGCAGCTTCTCCATCTCCCTCTGGAAGAGTCCCACGGCTGCATTTATCCCGAACGGTACACGTTTGTAGCGGTACAGGCCTTTTGGCGTGTTAATGGTTAGCAGATATCTCTGCTTTTCGGACACAGTGAGCTGCTGGTAGGCACGGGACAAATCAAACTTGGCAAAAACTCTTCCCCCAGACATTTGTGCGAACAGATCTTGAACTCGAGGTAATGGGTATCTATCGACACGGATAGCCCGATTGGCCGTCTGTTTAAAGTTGCCACAAATGCGAATTTTACCGTCCGGCTTCAAGACTGGAACGATCTGGCAGGCCCAGTCTGACGACTTCACCGGCTCTAGGACACCGGCTTCCACCTCCGCCTGAAGCTGCTCCTCCACCCGGCGCCTGTAAGCATAGGGTAGGTGTCGTGCTTTCATGAACCGGGGCGACACAGTCTGGTCAACGTCAAAAGAAATTTCGACATCCTTGAAACATCCCAGCTCCTTTGAAAACACATCATTGTACTTGGCCTTCAGCTTGCCTACTACATCGCCAGGTGACTCACCCAGGTTTCTCACCTGTTTGATGCCGCACCAGTCAAGCTTCAGTGTCGCCAACCAATCACGGCCCAGCAGATTCGGCCCGTGTGACTCGACGACCAGAACGGGCAGGTCCAGATGCTGGCTTTCGTACCTCACAACGGCGCTGAACTCACCGATGACAGGGATGGCGTTTCCCGTATACGAGCGCAGCCTCGCCTCTGACCTGGAGAGCGTCAGCCCGCCATGCCCCCCGTTGTCCGACACATTCCGGAACGTTTCGGCGGTCATCAGAGTGCTAGCAGCCCCGGTGTCAACTTCAAACCGCACAGGGACACCGAAAACCAGTACCTCGACGGTGATCGGGGGACACTTGGGGCGGCCAACAGAGTAGATACTGCAAACATCTGACTCACTCTGACTGTCATCATTCTGAACTGCAGGAGGGTCGGTTACAGCATGGACACTTCGAACACACTTGCGTTTCAGGTGCCCCAGCTCACCGCAGCTATGACAGTGATAGTCGCGGAATCGACAGTTCCGTGGGTTATGCATACCACCACATCGATAGCAGTCCTGACGCCGCCTCATGTCGGCTGCTTCGGACCCTCCCGGTCGGTCACCGGTCCCCCGCCCCGGCCGGCCAGCCTGCCGCGACCCGGCGGCCGCCGCGGCTCGACCGCGACCCACTGACCTTGACCCGGTCACGGAACCGGCGCGCTGCCGGTCAGAAATCAGCTGATCGGCGCGGTGTACCGCTTCAGATTCCAGCGAACCGACGGCACGGCCCGCCGCGAGCTGACCCACGTCTCTGGTGACCGACTCCGCCGCCAACGCCAACCTCTCGGCCATGACGAACGTCAGGGAGTCCTCCTCCGCCAGAAGCCGCTTCTGCAACACGGAGTCTTTGACCCCGCACACAAGTCTGTCACGAAGCATGCTGTCCAAAGTCTGACCAAAATCACATTTTTCGGCCAATCTCTTGAGGCTAGCGACGTAATCAGCAGCTGACTGATGAGGTTCCTGAATGCACTGATTGAACTTAAACCGGCTGAGTATCACTGATTGCTTGGGTGCTAAATGCCGACCCACTCGCTCCAACAACTCCACATATGGAAGTCCAACAGGTGATGCCGGTGACAAAACTGACTTGATACTCGTATAAGTTTCTTGGCCAACAGATGCAAGTAATAAGGCTTTTTTGCGCTCATCCTCAGTGATACCTTGTGCAAAACAAGAAAATTCAAATCTTTCGACATATTCTTGCCAATCTGTACTCGCCTGGTATTCACCGATGCCAATAGCCGACATTCCAGGAGGGCTGGTCACCTTGCTCTCGTTGGTCATCGCCGCCTGTGAGTGGTTGCCTCGTCGCCACTGTAAAGTCCGCGTCCTCGATAGGCCTGTATTGGCTGGCTGCCCGGCACCGACTGACCCAGCCGGCCAGGAATTGGTCGGCGGTCACAAGATCACGTGATCACAGAGGAGGGCGGGGCGCCACTCGCTACAGTGCGGACAGGCCGGCACGGCACTTAATACACTCAGACACTACAGGAACACATTTATGTAACTCGTGATAAGAATGAGTGTCCTACTGCAAAACTAATGAACTCCGTCTTTCTGTGTCCCTGCAGCTGGATGGATTGGCCTGGGTCCATGTATCTCACGCAGTTGAACCATCAGCAATGGCCAGATATCCAGTACTGGTTGAATTCTGTCTGAATTCAACGACGCGCAACTTCGTTCTGGCTGCCACATCCCAGGAGACGTGCTCCTATTCACATCTGTGATTTCCCGCCGGAGTCTGAAACTCAATGGCTTCGGCTGACTTTGCCATGTGGTATTGTTCACAAACGCTGCTGGAGCAGATATTTGTGTTCCACCCCCACAACAAACCAACTGCACTGACTTTATTATACTTTTTTTTCGAGCACCACGATTCTCCCTTCTGCCCTTTTTGACTTACAATCAACAGATGCACTAGATTGGTGCGACCCGTCCCAAGCCCATCCTCGTCCCCAGTCCAACTCCTGTTCATCCTAGTAAATACAACATCATCTCTGGCTTGCCCCCAAGGCTTTGCCATCTCTGACCCGTCTATGCAATCTATCCTAGTCCCCCTCTTGTCCATTGTCCGTCCCTATAGCCCATCTCGCCCCATGTCCGTCCCATTCCCTCCCTAGTCCCCCTGCCTGCTGGCCAGAGACCCGGTCCAGCGCGGGGCCGTTTTACCGGCTGTTCTCACACCCAACCGCCGTCCGACACGGAGCAGCGAGCACGCGAGCCGACCCGGTCCGCCGCCGCGCCGGTCCGCCGCCGGACTCCAGGCTATCACGAACAGCGCCGCCCGCCCGCCCACGGCTCCGGCCGTAACTCAGCGCCACATGCAGCGAATTGTGCGGGGAGCTCGCGGCAGCTCGGGTCCCGGTCCCGGCGGGCACTGACCCGTGCGTGCGTGAAGGTGTGAGGTTTTGGATGGCCTGAAAATGTGCTACTGAGCTGAGTACTGGTGTTTGAGGGTTGGAAACACCTCAATTATTTCCATGAAAAGTTGAAAGGCTGTTTTCTATTTGATAAGTCATTTAACTCGTATTAACCCGCGCCGTGCTGGTGGCCTGAACTTTCCGCCGAGTGCTGGGGGGGGGGGGCGTTTTCACGCCCCCCCGTCTAACTCGGCTCCTGGGCCACGTAGCGACACGCGGTAAGCGGCAATCGAAAGAGCGTCAAAAATAAAGACGAAAACACTTCGGTCATTTTTTGGGTCAGGTCAAAGGTCAGGTCACCAGAGGTCACCAAAGGTAAAATGTTGACTATTTCAACATTTTGGAAACTGCCAACGGCTATCTCGGGAACCGATAGAGCTACAGCGCCGCGGAAAAGCGCATTCGATAGCCCTTTTACAGGCCTTTCTGAGTAATGTTCTCAGATTTGACCTCAGGTCAACGGTTTAGCCTCCAGAGGGCAAAAACTCCAAAAATAGCCGTTTTTACGAAAAACGTTTTTTCGTCAATAACTTTTGACTCATAAGCGCCATGACATTACTTTTGCCAGCATCGTGTTCCTCTCGTCGAGACGCGTCGAATGAACTATTCGTTGACCTTAAAAGGTCATTTTGAAAATTTGACCTCAGGTCAAGGTCATGACCTGACCGAAAAGGGTCATGTTGCATATCAGTCGATCCGTATCGTCGAGCTGAACACATCTGACGTGTTTTCACCGCTCTAGCACGTCTCTATCAAAAGTTATAGCCAAAAAACTGCTGGCGACCGTTCATGACCTGAGATGACCTCAGGGGCACACAGAGGGGTCACAGGTGCATTTTTCCTATTCAGTGTGTCATGTTTACCTATGAACCGATGTTTGAGAGCGTTTTGAACGATATTCGTCCAAAAGAGGCGCATTTCAATTTTCTCCCATTGACTTATAATGGAGAGGTCGCAAAATTGACCTGACCTTAGGTCACAGATATCAAAAATCCGAGATATACATTTTATACATACTGTTACTCATATCAATCGCTGAAAGTTTCAAAGTGATCGTTCAGTCGGTGTAGCTATAGCGAGCCTTTGAACTTTTTCTGAGGTAAGGTCACTTGACGTGACCTGGTGACCTGACCTTGAACGGCCTAGGTCTGAAATTTTCACAACATGTGCGGAAATGATGTAGGAACACGTGTACCAAAAACGGCGGCGCTGCGCGCCGCCGTTTTTGAGATATTCGCGAAAAACCTGAGGGGGGGGGCGTAAAAACGCCCCCCCCCAGCACGGCGCGGGTTAATAATCCTAGTAGATAATGTGATATGATGTACTTTGATAAGAGAGAGAGAGAGAGAGAGAGAGAGAGAGAGAGAGAGAGAGAGAGAGAGAGAGAGAGAGAGAGAGAGAGAGAGGGAGAGAGAGAGAGAGAGAGAGAGAGAGAGAGAGAGAGAGAGAGAGAGAGAGAGAGAGAGAGAGAGAGAGAGAGAGAGAGAGAGAGAGAGAGAGAGAGAGAGAGAGAGAGAGAGAGAGAGAGAGAGAGAGAGAGAGAGAGAGAACTGTATTTACGGACTCATGGTCCAATTGTAAATGAGACAGAACCACTTTACACTGCCAACAGTGCCCGATTCCACACAGCCCTATATCTAGAGCATATGCTCACATCACTGTTCACAAGAGCGCTCAAAACAGTGTTTTTGGTCAAACCGAGCCTTCGGAGAAATATCCATGATGACTTTCTGAACATAACATCAAAGCTATCAATGCCTTCGCGAACATGCATTGCAGAAGCACTACAGAATCTCTCGTAGCCAAAAAACATTCGAGCAGCATTATTCAGGCAAACCTTAAACTTGTTGATAACAGACACATTGAACACGTGCCAAAGGTGAAGGCAATATACAGTGGCACAATAGGACATATACAGAAACTTCTTTACCTGATACGAGCACATCGAGAATTTCCGAATCAGCGAGTTCGTTCGACAGCACAGTAAACGATAGTGCTGCTGGATTTCCAAATTGTCAGTTGAGTCTTCAGAAATATTAAAACCTAAATATTTATAGCTATTCACATATTTCAGAGTTTCACCGCAAAGAGTAAGCTGTGGCAAACACATATTCTTGAACATTTTTGGGCGCAAGCACATACACACAGTCTTTTTCGTATTATAAACAATGTCATGTTCATTCGCATATTTTTCACATGTGTTTAGTAGGACCTGAAGGCCAAACGGCGTGGGTGACAAAAGAATCATATCATCAGCATATGCTATGTGGTTCATACTACCTAGGTAGCGACAGCCAACACCAGTGTTATCAAGGCTCACAGACAAAGAATCAACATACAGATTAAACAAAAATGGTGAAAGAATGCCCCCCTGTCTGACCCCATTGCAAACAGTGAAGCCACTTGTAACGTACTGTCCCCATTGCGTATGAAATGATTGTGTACCATAATCATAAGGATTTTGTGCTCTGTTACAGTGCATTTCGATAGAGCTGATAGCCAGCAACTGCTGAGTTTTGCCATGTGAGGAATGAGAATAGACTCTGTCATTCGAAATCATCAGTACAATTGCATTGGAGCCGGAGGAAGACCTTTACCCGACTCAGCTTCAAAGTTTTGAATAAAGCTTCCGACAACTTAACCCGCGCCGTGCTGGGGGGGGCGTTTTTACGCCCCCCCCTCAGGTTTTTCGCGAATATCTCAAAAACGGCGGCGCGCAGCGCCGCCGTTTTTGGTACACGTGTTCCTACATCATTTCCGCACATGTTGTGAAAATTTCAGACCTAGGCCGTTCAAGGTCAGGTCACCAGGTCACGTCAAGTGACCTTACCTCAGAAAAAGTTCAAAGGCTCGCTATAGCTACACCGACTGAACGATCACTTTGAAACTTTCAGCGATTGATATGAGTAACAGTATGTATAAAATGTATATCTCGGATTTTTGATATCTGTGACCTAAGGTCAGGTCAATTTTGCGACCTCTCCATTATAAGTCAATGGGAGAAAATTGAAATGCGCCTCTTTTGGACGAATATCGTTCAAAACGCTCTCAAACATCGGTTCATAGGTAAACATGACACACTGAATAGGAAAAATGCACCTGTGACCCCTCTGTGTGCCCCTGAGGTCATCTCAGGTCATGAACGGTCGCCAGCAGTTTTTTGGCTATAACTTTTGATAGAGACGTGCTAGAGCGGTGAAAACACGTCAGATGTGTTCAGCTCGACGATACGGATCGACTGATATGCAACATGACCCTTTTCGGTCAGGTCATGACCTTGACCTGAGGTCAAATTTTCAAAATGACCTTTCAAGGTCAACAAATAGTTCATTCGACGCGTCTCGACGAGAGGAACACGATGCTGGCAAAAGCAATGTCATGGCGCTTATGAGTCAAAAGTTATTGACGAAAAAACGTTTTTCGTAAAAACGGCTATTTTTGGAGTTTTTGCCCTCTGGAGGCTAAACCGTTGACCTGAGGTCAAATCTGAGAACATTACTCAGAAAGGTCTGTAAAAGGGCTATCGAATGCGCTTTTCCGCGGCGCTGTAGCTCTATCGGTTCCCGAGATAGCCGTTGGCAGTTTCCAAAATGTTGAAATAGTCAACATTTTACCTTTGGTGACCTCTGGTGACCTGACCTTTGACCTGACCCAAAAAATGACCGAAGTGTTTTCGTCCTTATTTTTGACGCTCTTTCGATTGCCGCTTACCGCGTGTCGCTACGTGGCCCAGGAGCCGAGTTAGACGGGGGGGCGTGAAAACGCCCCCCCCCAGCACTCGGCGGAAAGTTCAGGCCACCAGCACGGCGCGGGTTAACTTGGTATCAGATCAGACAGTCCGCCATTAGATCAAACGGTTGTGCATTTCATGATAAATTTTAGCAATGAAACATCGAGAGATGCATGCTTTGCTTTTAACTGATTCTATATTTGGATTTGACAGGCACGAATTCTTTATTTATTTCAAAGATAACCGGAGGAAAAGTTTCACCATGATGCATTTAGTGTGACGGGATGGCAGATCGCGTTTTTGAACAGCGGAAAAGGCTTTTAGAGCAGAAACAGTGATATGGCCAACTATGCTCGTTTCGTAAATGCATTTGACTGATTATTTTACTAGAGCTATGATCACATTACTAAGGTACTTTTGGTAGCAATGTACAAAACAGAACGTTTGAAAGCGATAATTCCGTAGAATTATAAGCCAATTGTGATACCACAAACACAAACTTGAGTACCTTTTGAGCGTTATAAGGTACCTACCTGTAATCGTGTAATAATGTGGATCGAAGTGCTACGTTTCTGCGTAGGTACTACTGATATTAGTAAATGTAGCCCTTATTAAAACAAAGCCATATGGTCGCTCCAGCCGTCACTTCTTCATATGAAGCACTCAGTCATTTTCTGCCGGTCTTCACCTCCCCCTGTTCTCAATCTCAGCCGGGCTTTGAGTTGCCACCCACCGTCACCAGCCAGGCTTGACGGGTCGGTCGCGGGCCGGCCCAATTGCATTAGCCCGGCCTGGACTCGACTGGACCAGAGCCCGCAGTGCTGGTCACGCAGAATGGCGTGGGGCCGGGCCGCCCATTCGACCTCACAGCGGCGGCCGACGCACACCGACAGGGCCGCGCGCCGCACCGCTACTGCCTCTCGAGTCGTCAAACAAGGCATAACTTTCCGGTGCCCCGATTAGGGTCCTGGCTGCTTTATTACGCGCCAGACTGCGGCCGTCGAGCGCTGCGGGGATGCCGTCGAGCCGAGTTGTAAAACACTGAGCCCGCGACGCGCGCCGGCATTAAAACTTTAATTTGTTCTAAGAATATTTATTTAAAAATGTGAGTGATACTAAACAGAAGACATGGCTACTCAACACACACTCACAACGCGCATATGTCATAGCACATTTCTTCCACATATATATTTTTTAATTCGTGCTCCATCCTCAAAGTTTTCTGTTCAGGGGAAACTTTGGAACTGCTGCTGCTCTTGACCCAATAAAATCGCCTTCCATTTTTATTGTTCTAAACCTCTCTATCTCCATCTCCTTCTCTCTCTCTCTCTTTCTCTCTCTCTCTCTCTTTCTCTCTCTCTCTCTCTGTCTGTCTGTCTGTCTCTCTCTCTCTCTCTCTCTCTCTCTCTCTCTCTCTCTCTCTCTCTCTCTCTCTCTCTCTGTCTCTCTTGTCCCCTCTCTCCCTCCCTCTCTCCCTCTCTACCCTCTCTCTCTCTCTCCCTGCCATTGCAGTCGGCTCCGCTGCCGTCACCACCGGTGCGCCGGCCGATGCCGTATGGATTTTCGGTGCCGGTCGGGTTGACCGTGGCTCTGGTGACATGTCGTATGGCACTGGGACACGGCACATTCATCACGGAGGAGCGGGGTCAGTGCGGCCCGGCGTGTGCCGCCGACAGAACGAACACGGGTGCCGCGCGCGACCCATCCGCCAGCGCAGACGAGCTAATTAAATAGGATGGGGTGCTGCTTCGGATTTGGGCCAACGCATTTTAACGCATTGAGGGTGAGCGAGACTGTTTCGTTTGAAATGCACAGAAAACTTGCTTGGTGGATGGCGGGGGGGGGGGCAGGCTTAGTTTTGACGAGTTGAGGTAGATTTTAAACCAGTCCAAAGGGATACGATTAAGTTGTCTTATGTGTTATTGTAAAATTGAATGATTCTGTTCCATTTTTCTAGGCAACAAATGACGCCCTGAAGTGTGCACTCACCAGCGTTCATTTCGGTCAAGGCTCTGCTGGTCTTTGGCTAATGACACGTCCCGAATGACACGTGAATGGCCCGTAAACATGCGAGTATCGACTCGGTAGAGTGTCATGTGAACCTCCATTGGTCAGCTATTGCGCGTAGATGATCGTTGAGCCAGGCACGAACTGCGCTAATTGAATATAAAACACCTTGTTTGTAGGTCACGGGCTTATGCGATCAGACAAAGTCATTATAAAGGGAATGGATTCAAGGTTCACTGGTTCTATGCGTGTTGAAGGGTTATTTAGAATTTTGATGTGATCATCGTGCAGAGCTCAACGAGTATGCAAGTGATGTTGGTAAAAGCAAAACAGAACAAAACAAACAACTAAAGGGCTTAATTGCGTGGTGAATTTTATGGTCTGCACTGTTTAAAGGGACCCTCCCACCTTCAAAAAAGTTAATGAATTGGCATGAAAGTGATGTCGCTCGGTTCAGAAAGAGCAAAAACGCATATCTACCAAATTTCATCGAAAAATATTCACCGGTTTTCAAGATATTAGACTTATACTTTTGTTTACTTTTTGGGATCTCCGCTGTTCCTAGCGACTTTATTTGAAAGTGCGGCATTTGTTGCGCGCAAAGCAGCATATACCACCGCGTGCTACAAAACGTTTTAGTCAAACATTTAACGGACGTTCGAAAGCCTGATGACGTCATCAGATTCCCGTAATGGTTAAGAGATAGGGACCACGCTGGTCCCACCCTGCAAGTAAAGGGAAGAAATTTCTTGAACACCATAAAGCTGCGGGGGTTGCGACCAGGATAAATGGTGGTTTCTGAGCCTGGCCGCAAACTTGGCTATCTCAACTCAAAACTAATGTTAAGGTGGGAGGGTCCCTTTAAGCGCTACGTCGAAACCTTTCAATGGAAAGGTTAAAGGAGTACTTAAACTTTATAGCGCCTCGAAGCCTAGATTTATGAAAGTTTAGTGCTATCTGACAATACTAAGATCTGCTTGCACATTGCACAAGCTATGAAAAGATAAAACTAGCAGCACAATCAAATAGAGCCATTTTGCCAAACAATTTATGGGACTATAATAATTGCCAGAGATTTCATTGCAACTGAACGTATGACTTATAGCATAACTGCGCACTATGCAGTTTGCATTGAAAATGCAATGCTATACATTTTTGAAATACATAGCACTGCAAATGAAATCCGTGATGTGACTGAAACCTTAATATCTTAAAAAGATTAGCTTATTTTTCAGCTTTGTCAACATAAAGTTTAAATGGGGCAAGTTAGAAATGATCGATACTTACGTATACCATGCGCCGTTTCAGAAATCACCGTGGCGAAAATAAATGGATATTTTACGCCCCCGCCCCTTGTGACAAGATGAAGTTTGTTTCCACAATGTTTTCGGTGTGTTTTGTTTGTTTCAAATCCCAATCCAAGCAGTGTCAATGGAAAGCGCGATACTGGTTCCGCACTAATGCAGCCGTGCCGCCTCAGACCCGCCTTTTTTCCATCCTTCTCCCTAGATGTCGCTAGCAGTCGACGCCTGCAGTTGTATGCTGTGCCGCAAAACACCGGAATGCCACCACAGCGCTGCTGGCGATGGGCGTGGTTAGAGAACTGAGAAAATCAATCGGTTGCAATCGCTTTGGCACCGAGTAATAGCGTTAGATTCCGAGGAGCTCCACGCCGTGTAATACGACGAGCGGAGTCTTATTATTACTGTGACGTCGTCGAACAGTTGTTTGCATAAAACTCGTTAAAGTCATTGGATTTGAGTTTTTGATGTTAGAATTCAGAATTAGGCACACATTCGATTGACAGTTTACAGTTAGTTACAGTTAGTTCGATAGACAGTTAGTTTCTCGTGCATCCAAGCCATGTGTTGTGTACGTAACAATTTACAAGCCTAACCGTGATTGAAACCGAACATCATTAACGACACAAACGCAAAATGATTTACATCAACCCCATGTCGGAGCAAAAGAAGATATGTCTGCGTCCCTGTAAGCCTCGTAAGAGCTCTTCGTATGCCCCACGACGTAACTCTTTGCTGATGACGCATGTGTTCCCTGCCGTTTCAGTCGCTCGCGCCCGTATCGTGGGCAACCGGGAGCAGCACGTCAAGTCGGGCAGTGACGTCAACTTGACATGTCAGCTGAGTCACGACTCGAGCGCCATCTATTGGTACCACCGCGACAAGGTGGTCACCTCAAACTACTACCAGCCGGGCACCCAGAGGATACGGATAGAGACGGCGCCCACCTACAGCAGGTCAGTGTGACGTCATAACCAGAGACGGCACCCACCTACAGCAGGTCAGTGTGACGTCATAGCCAGAGACGGCGCCCACCTACAGCAGGTCAGTGTGACGTCATAAACATAATATAGAGACGGCGCCCACCTACAGCAGGTCAGTGTGACGTCATAACCAGAGGATAGAGACGGCGCCCACCTACAGCAGGTCAGTGTGACGTCACAGCCAGAGATGGCACCCACACACAGCAGGTCATTACTCATTGTAACGCTACAACAACGTTTTTCATCAAGCTGTTTAGTGTCAAGACATCAATCATAATTGATTGAGATGTGCTTCTCGTTTTATTTAGTGCCACATTTGTCGTGCATCTGCCTCGATCACGATTACAAAAAGAACAATCCATCCCGTCAATCAGAAGTAATCAGAAGCATTTACTCGTGATTTACGGAGATGTGTTTTAGAGCTTTCTCAACTTATTTTTAGATACCTCATACCAATGATTGATTACAGACATCGCTGACAAGTGCATACATTTTATTGCTGCCATGGAACAGAGGCCGTTGTAGATTATATTAAGTTTTGATTTTTTCTCCATTTATACCTCTTTTGCGTCAGTCTGGCATGCAATATTGTCTTTACACTGTGCTATATAACTTCCGCAGATGGTAGCTGAGCTACGGTGGCTTTTAAGTGCTAGCCTACCGTGGAATAAAATGGGAAACACTGCTACCGAACTGAGCTTACGACATGAAGTTAACGATTCTGACTCTTGTCTAGCAACTCAAAACTTGCTGCTTATAGCTTCTTGGCATAGAATGTGGCTCCAGCGACGAGCAATGACGACGAAAGGTCATGCAAAGGCACTCAGCTTCCTCATTCCTCGTTTCATCGCCATATTAGGGGTATGCGGTCTCATTCTTGAGTAGCTATAAACAGTTTAACGACAATCTCACTGCTCCGGTGCATCGTAAAGCGGGCCGGGGAGTCTTGAAATATTTCTTCTTGTGGGGCTCAGACGGCTACAAAGAAAGAAGATTGCAGGTGTGTTTACTGTGACCTGCGTTTCCTCGTGTCCGGAAAGTACAACACTGAAACACTTTATTAGACAGTCATTTAATCTGGAATAACCTACAGAATATTCAGGTGATCACACATCACGATTAACATAATTCTGGCTATTTTTTGCATCATTTTGTTTTGCAACTAGGACACTTCTTTTGTCAGCGTGCCGTGCTGGACCATAGGACGATAACCCCTCCCCACATTGCCCCCAAACTCTACTAGGACCCACCACTCCCATGGATGCACCACAGAATCATTCCATGAACTCTCCACAACACTACCCAATCATTGTTCCACGGAGCACGGATCCATCACAGCCGCACTGACCTTCCACATCCCACAGATCCCTTCCCCATCAAACCCATAAACCCACCACACTTCCCTCTCCCATCAAACCCACCACACTCCCCACCTCCCCATCAAACCCACCACACTAGCCCTCTCCCATCAAACCTACTCCCATCAAACCCACCACACTCCCCTCTCCCATCAAACCCACCACACTCCCCCTCCCTCTCCACAGACCGCAGCACTGCGCAGCTGGCCGTGCTTCTGTTTGATGAACCCCGCCCCCGATGGCGGCACCAATAGTCCCCGAGGTGTATTAGGCCGCGATCAGTGCAGCCCCACAGGCGACCACCGATGCCACCGCGACACAACTCCGTCGGACGCCGGCGGCGGTCGGTCGACATCAGGGTGTTTTGCCGCCGCCAGCTGCCGTCGATCCTCATTGAAACTCGACGCTGTCACTTCTCACCAGCCAGCCAGGCCTCAGAGACGATAACTTTTTGTTGCCGCGGGAGGTGGCCGTCACAAAACGCAGCTCAGATGCCGATTGGAGGAGGCTCATTGGCAGGCGACGTGGCGGCCGCCTGGGTTGTTATACTGGCCCGCCGGGCACGGAAGACTCGTGGTGTTGTGGTGGCGGTAGCATGATCGTCGGATGCCCCGGGGGGGGGGGGGAGGCGGCGCGGTGGAGGCGGCAATCAGGCCGAGTTGTCGCTGAGGGACACCAAAGTCGGACCAATTAGGGTTCTAGAGCTCGTTACCTCCCCAAACTAGCCGAGAGCCGTCTGACTGGGATCGGCCGGCAGCCGGATGCCGGACGGCCGGATCGACGCGGGCTGCAGACAGTGGCGAGCGCTAGCACCATCCCCGGCTAGATGAACGGACGGAGAAGCCTATTTTCACCGAGACGGCGCCGTAAAGAAAGCCGACGGCGACCGAAAACCACAGCCTCCACCGCGACTGGTGGCGACGCGACAGCTGCGGCGCGGCGTCTCCGACCGTCGCAGAGTGCCGAATATCACCAGCTGTGGTGAGCGGTCCATCGGGACGGTCTGCTTCTCTCCTGGGAGACGGCGGAGACGGCTGATCTCGCCGCCACAGCCGCCCAGAGAGCCGTAACAGACCCGGTCCGGCCGGCTCACCAGACGCCAGCCGAGACCCGAACCGACCAGCTTCGATGGCATATTTCATGCCGGGTGAAACTTGGAGCCAGCCGCCGGCGCGGGAGCTGACGCCAATGCAGACACATGGGGGCAATGCGGGAGTCGACCGGAGCGGAACTGCACCCCATAGGTCACGGGTCACGGGGCGCCGGCTGCTGACGGATGGACCGCCCCCCCCCTCATTGTCCCGCCGTGTCTCGACCTGGGAGCGCTGCTGCGCCTCCGAAATGTCTGCGTGGGCTGTTTAGTACCTACCGTTTTCTGGTCTCGCAGCAATAAGCTGATTTATATCAGCTACTATATTCTGCTATGCGGGGCTATTCGCTGCTATTTCAGTGATGTATGACAATATTTTGAAGGTCGTAATGCTCGCGGAACCACAACCCAACCGCCACCGACTAAAGTCGCTATATGTACAGCCACCGCTGCTTCGGTCGCGCGGCGACGCAACTTCGCAACTGTTAGAAACTACTTTTTTCACTGTGTCACTCTCACTGTCACTGTTTTTGCCACATGACTGTGGAATGTGACAACAATGTTTTGCATAACTACTTTTATTGCTAGCTAATCTGAAGTCAAAATCGTTCTTATTTATCACGTACCGACAATTACGTATATATGCTATAAATTTCCTGCTTACGCCATTGCCTGTTAGTCTTACCTGGGCCGATTTGCAAAACGATCGGCCACTAAAGATTTATATTTCATTCTCCTGTCAACTCGGCACAGATTGCAAAACACTGCATTTGTATTTAGTGCCTGTTTGTTTAGAACGACATATAAGTGTCCGCCTTTACCCCTGTTTTTTTTTTATAAGATCGACTTCTCCCCCCAACCATAGGCTGGGGAGGGGGACCTCGACTGAGCTTGGGGTCGTGGGGGAGGGGCAGATGCCGGAGTCGGCCCTCTGATTTACAGCCGGCCTAACGCCTCCCTGATGACGCTTGATCAGGCACCGGATGTGGGCGACGCCTGGCGAAAGCACCAAATAATTCCGCCCGCCCACCCGTTGTCAAATCAAAAACGCTCTAATGCGTTCAAGGAAATTGACATTTTGACGTACCAGCGCTAGCCATTGGCTACACATGACCTTAGCTGTCGACTGGAAGGAATGCAATTCGAGTCAGCCATCGGGTTAGCCTCAACTACTCGAATGCTATGTATTGGCGTTGCTGAATATATGCATCGAAACGTGACAGTTCGATGCATTTAGGGAAATGAACTTGCACGTTGTTAATCATATCGCCGTGCTGAAAATATCAAATGAAATCCGTCTTACCAATTGCAACCAATAATCACTAAATCATCCACTCCCACAGCACCACTTCTCAGCCATAGACAACTTGGGACGTTATTTTTCAAAGAATTGCTCGGAACAGACGTCAGACGACTAATCTTTAAACAAACCACCCGACTTTATTTTGTTTACGCTTCGACATAATGGCTGTTTGCTCTATAAACTCGCTCCAGTCCATCTTCTGCCAGCCTGTTGTGGTCCCATTAAAAGTGAACAAACTTCCCCCGAGGATAAAAACTCGGGTGATCCCGCTCGCTCGGCGGCGCAGCAGAGAACTCCAGCCGCGTAACCAGGCTCGTGACACCTCCGCGGCTGTTCAGAACGCCGCCGTCCACCTGCCGATGCGTTGATTACAGGCGATAGGAGCCAATCACGGGCGATCGGTAGCCACCCCGCCCCTCCCCCGCCCCCCGCGTGGGTGATTATCGCCAGGTGCGTGTGTCCAGCGCCGATGGCGACGGACCGCCGGCGGCACGGGAGGCGCACAGTGGGTGCCGGGCGGCGACAGGAAAACCGCATTACGGCCGCGCGCGGGGCGCTGGCTCTGGTCCCCGGAGAGGGGCGACGGTGACAGCGGGAGACTGATCGGCGCCGCTGACTAACGTCGAACCCGACAGAGTCGATAGCCAGCGCCGGCAGGCTGATGTCGATACCGACAGTGACAGGCTGTTGTAGGAACAGGCAGACTGCTCAGCGGGCTAAAGTAAATAGCAGACACCGGCGTGTGTCTAACATTGGCGTTCTACTACAGTCAACGCGGCAATTCTAAAAAAAAAACTCCTGACAAACGCGCAATGGACTGTTAAAACCTGGCGTTTGATCTTTGATGTATGAGCGTCAAATGGCGCATTTCAACGCTGGTGAGACTTCATTATGCATTGGCTAAATTGCGCCCTGCCATAGAATGTGAAATGCGTGGAGTGCGATAGCACGCTATCATCATTGCAAATAATTAGAAGGTGTCATAGCGCGATGCGTCGTAAAGCTGTATTACCGGGAGCGCGTAAATAATAAATTTGTATTTTGACATTTGACCTGAGCGACATGTGTCTTTTCAATAGCTGAGGAACAGCCTGACAGCTTTGTAAATTGTATCACCTAAGCCGCCTTATACGGACATACCTTCGGCCACGCTCGATGCTGATGGCCAATGGCCATGTTCGTTCCCTGTCCAAACGTTCCCATAGGGCCGGCACTGACTGCCCGACAACACGACGAGAGAGTCAGCTCGCTTAGACCGATCAGTCTTCTTAACGTATTATATAAGTTAATCACAAAGATGCTGGCTACCCGGATGCGTTGTGTTATAGAAAAATTAATTAATCCAGACCAAACAGGGTTTATTAAAGGTCGCTACATTGGCGAGAACGTCCGTCTAATTATAGATACACTACAAGCAGCCAATGCAAAACAACTCGCTGGATTAATTGTGTTTTGCGACTGGAAACAGGCGTATGATACAGTAAATTGGAAGTTTTTGAAGCAAGCACTTGTAAAATATGGTTTTGGTTCAAAAATGAGAAAGTGGATAGATATCATTTACGATGAAAGAACTGGATCTCCATGCACAGCACAAGTGCAAATCAATGGGCATTTATCACAACATTATAGAATAGAAAGAGGTCTAAGGCAAGGATGTCCCCTCAGTTGCTATCTATTTTTGTTAAGTATAGAACCGCTAGCCGAAATGATTAGACAGAACGAGAACGTAAAAGGCCTCACAGTAAACGACACCGAATTAAAGATTTCATCCTACGCAGACGATACAACTTTGATATTGAACGCCTCCCCGCAGTCCCTGAGAGAATGTATGAGATGCATAAATTCGTTTCAAGAAGCATCTGGACTCATTCTGAATAACAGCAAAACCCAAGCAGTTTGGATAGGTGCCAATGCGGGCAGAAGTGATTCAATTTGCCCAGAAATAGAGATTCAATGGACAAATCAGCCAGTTGAATATCTGGGCATCAAACTGAATGCGACTGGTACTGACCTGCCTGAGCTAAACTACCCTGACAAAATATCTAGGCTGAGACAGAAGTTAAATCCTTGGCAGTCTCGTGGATTGACCGCATATGGTAAGATTCATCTTCTCAGGTCAGAGGCCTTATCACAATTAGTGTACACTATGACTTTAATGGAAAAACCTAATCGACAGCAGCTGAAACAAATTGATACCATTATGTTTAAGTTTATTTGGAAGAATAAGCGAGATAAGATTAAGCGTAGTATTCTAAAATCTAGTCATGGTAAGGGTGGTTTAAAAGTACCAGACCCGTCACTTCAGGCAGATAGTTTAAAAACTGTGTGGATAAAAAAGGCGTTGGACGAAAACTGCGATGCCAAGTGGAAGTCTGTTATGAAGGATAAGCTATTCCTTACGGACAATGTATCTATTTTCCGGTGTGACATGTCACAACAGCAAGCTCTGCAACATTTTGAGAGTCGCTTTTGGGCTGAAGTGTTTTCAACTTGGACTGGCTGTCAGCAGCAGAGCGTTCGTTCGGCTTCGGAGGCTTTATCTACAGTATTATGGAAAAACAAGAATATGTGCCTAGAAAGTAAAAAAGTCTTACCTGTTAAAAAACTTATAGAGCGAGGTGTCATAAGAATAGAAGACCTGTATCACAATGGCGAGAGACGGCTCATGACTGCTGTTGAACTTAGTGGGAAGTATCGAATAGCGAACTTCTTGATATGGCAAGCAATATTGAGATCAATACCTCGTACAATAACTGATTTAATAACACAAAAGCGACCACGTAGAAGCATGTCACCAAAAGTCTTTGAAGAGCTTGCATCACAGCAAAAGCCAGCAAAATGGGCGTATAAAAAAACTTTTGCAACAGTTTGAGTCAGGGCAAATGTCCATACAACAAAGGAGATGGCGAACAGAGATGAATGGTGAACCACTCGATTGGAAGACAATATATAACCACGTGTACTCTATCACTGATGATTTCGAACTACGCTGGTTTCAATATCAACTACTGCAAAGAATTCTTCCAACGAACCGGTTGCTTTATTTATACCGATTGGTTGACAGCGATGAATGCGTTTTCTGCCCAGGTACAAAAGAAAGTATTACACATAGCTTTTGGGACTGCCGTCTTAGCAAGCCGTTTTGGGCTCAGATTAGATCACTTCTCGGCCTAAGGGGGGTGCTCAGTCTTAAAACAATAATTACAGGGGTTTATCGTCGGCGAGAAGATATTCCAACGAGCGCCATAATGCATTGTGTGTTATTGGCCAAAAGATTTATATGGCGTGCCCGAAAGGCAGCTCAGCCCCCACACATCCGCGGGTTCATCCTAGCGTTTAGTGGGTACATTCGTGTGGAGAGGTTCGTGGCATTAGTTAATGGAAGGATGGACGAATTTCTGGCGAAGTGGTCTAATGTGATGGACAGAGTGGGTGTAGGTTGACTACAAGAAGACCGGCCCCCGCCCCTAACCCATCCGGGATAACCCGTCGACCGGCCCTTGCAATGTCGCAGGGCCGGTTGGCCGGCCGGGCCTGCGGCGCGCCGCTCAAGCGAGCCGGCGCGTCGCAGGCCCGGCCGGTGACAGGGGCGCTGCCCCGTGGCATGTGGGACGCGGGGCGGCGCGGGCGGGGGTGCGGCGTGCATTGCATGATTGTCTGTTTTGTGTTGTATTCATGGTGTGGTATCATCTGCCAATAAATTAAAAAAAAAAAAAAAACACGACGAGAGAGGGACGAGAAGGCGAGGAAGCGAGGGACGAGACAGGGATTCCACGCGCAGCGTCAGACCACCGATCACGCCTAGTTTATATGCAGATGCGTTCACTCAGTATGCAGATGGCAGCGACAAAAGTCTTATCCTTCCTGTCGCTGTCCCCCAAAGAACTCGGCTATCGGCGAATCATCGGCAAACTCGGCAGGATGCTGACGGTGGAGGGTAGATTGGTGTTTTGTCTGTATGACTTTGTAGTCTAGTCATCAGTCAACAATCTGAAGCAACAGGTATACAAATTGTGCCACGGAGAAAAATCAGACTTGGACTAGCGATGATCAGCACCGTTAGAACTGGTTGTAAAAATATGTGTAGGTGGATAGTCACTCTCGCGATATGCATCGTGCGCAGACAATAAAAGGAAATATCTAGAAATAACATCATCAGCTATATGATGCTTCATTTTGGTTTCTTACAAACGAATACCCGACAATATTCTTTCCATTTCAGAGCTCAACTGATTCCTCTTATCCATGATCTATTGATTTAGCTGTATAACGAGCTAACCCACTTTTTCGGAGTTCGGATCCTTTTTATATCTATCTTCATGTTCAAGTTCATATTCCCCCAAAATGTGTGTTCCTCTTGTCTCTTGCATTAGGCGTCTACATTTGTCACCATTTTATCTGTTGTTTTCTGTGTTCCAGGCTGCATATCACCGGTGTGGTGGACAGCGACTCCGGAGTCTACACATGCTCCCCGGTCGGCATCGACCCCGTGTCTGCCGTGCTGCACGTCATCAACGGTACGTCATCGGCGTCAACATCGTCATCAGCGACAACAACACAACACTGCTCAGCGACAATGCACCGGATCCGAAATGCACTGTCACGGAGTGCACGATCTGCGCTGACATTTCCAGTTATGGGTGGATTTGGATGCTTTGCTTTTATTGTTATTTGATCTGAAACCAACCACACTGCTGTGACTGACCTTAGTGGCCTATGCCCCTTTGTTCTAGCAACACAAAACTATTTCTGTTTTTCTCAGAACCCTCCTTAATCTGGACCAAACACTGTTCTTAATCCAGGTTATTTGCGAGCGTGCTATCCTGCCAGCGCTGAGGTATTTTCGCTCACCTACTTACCGGGGCCGCATAGATCAGTAGTTTATGTGAGCCCCATCGGGCGCGGGCATGCCTTTAGCGGCGAGGGCGCGTTCGCTCGCTTTACGGGCCTTTCTGTATAGGGTTGGGGAGGCGATGACTCCTCCCGAGAGACCGAGCGTGTGCCACCACCGGCAGCGGCGCAGGAAAAGTTGGCCGATAACCCCTCGTCCTTTGACCTGTCGACCCTCCCTGCTTGCAAGAAACATTGTGAGACCCCAGACTTCCTGGTCGGCCGCCAAATTTATCGCCCAGACTGTTCGAATATTGATCATCCATGCAATCGATCACATGCACGGCTCGCAGTTCACTTCACATATTTATCAGATTGAAGAATGGACGATGAAAATCGATGTGAATGTCTGGGGAGTGCGTTTCTGCTGTGCGTTACGATTTTCGAAGTGCTGTTTGGTACGGCAGCAATCACAAGCAATAAGGTCGACGGACGTCAGCAGTTTCAACTGAGCCGACAGTTCTCGGCGGATCATCATGAGGTCGAAGCAATCGTTTAATGTCCAAAGCGTGCCGTTTCGATTTACGAGGCGTTCTAAAACGCACTTAAATCTCACAACCGGTGCAATACTTCCGAGAACGAACTCACACACCCACAAAAGTCGCCATCCGATGGCAAGATATGGGAGCGAGCGCTTACTCGGCAACTGGGTCGGTCGTTCCCTTTTGTAACTGCGTGGGCGACTCGTAACGACACCGTCGTAGCGGCGCTGGCGACCCTACTCTGCCCAAAAAGAATTGTCGAACGCGCCACTGAACGACAGTGTTTGTCTCTCGGCGGAGGTCGGCGCGGAGCTCCATTAACGCAGGACGGACCAATCGCGACGCCGGCCGGCCGCCGCTAAAGCCTGTCGGCTTAGCGAGGTCCGGCTCGGCCCCAGCGGCTCACGGCTCATCTGTGGTCTGGCCGCGGCCCGCCAGGTTAGCTGGCCGGCTCGGTAGGACGCGAATGAACGCGGCCGGCTCGGCACTAACGCGGCTCGACGGTTAGTTGGACGTAATTTGACCCGTCTGGCAGGCATCCTGACATTCAGGATGTGAAATACGAACACCTCGAGACAAATGATGCGGACATGGCAGACGATATCGATGAAAGATATAGTTTTCGTTCACTTAGCGTGTTGGGCAGGTCACTAAAATGAGCATGTATGTGCATCTAAACTACCTATATTAAAACGTTACATTGCTGCAACAACTAAAATCGTTATGGAATACCAATGCCTATTTTTCCAAATGTGTCGATGTTTGGGCGTCATCACAAGCAAAAATGGCTTTAAGAATATCTCTAAGTAAGCGAAATGTATTGACATCTCTTCCCAGCACATGGACCTAACACCACTCTCACACAATAACTCTCTCTATTAGGCGTAGGTGCAGGGGATTTTTTTGCGGCCAGTTAGACTTTTTGATTTTTTCCACCTCGAACATTTTCCACCCCATCCTGGCTGCCTCAGTTCAACTCGTTCCTACCCGACCTCACCCGACTCATCCCTTTTGGCCCGTTCCGAACCGAACCGTCTCCGCTCAGTGCCTGTTTTCGGACCGTCTAGAGGGAAAGGTACTCCTTCTGGCGCAGGAAGCACTTTGTCTGTCGTGGAAGCACTCGGTCTGAGAGCACACCGTCGTCTAACGCAAAAAGCATAGACAGTCTAAGACAGTCTAAGGCAGGAACGCTCCGTCTGCCGCGGGCCCCTCCTTCTAACCCCTGCAGCACTCCGTCTAACTCCGACAAATGAGTCTAACTCCGACAGCACTCTGTCTTTCTTAGTCAGGTGGCACCCTGTCTAATTTCGGTAGCTCTATTTCTAACTCCGGAAGCACTCTGTCAAATTTCGGAAACACTCTAACTAATTCCGGTGGCACTCAGTTTAACGTGGGTGGCACTCTGTCCGCCCAGCCAATAATGTCCGACCGGGTGTCATTTCTCTTCTGATGCCCCGCTGCAGCCGGCGCCAGCTCATAAATGTTTCGTCGCAGATGAACGAGCCCTGATTGCCGCGATCGTTACGCGGCTGGAATCGGCTCCAAAACGACCGGCAATGCATTGTGGGCGACTGACGCCGAATGCCGTATGGTCAGAACTGATATTGGAACGTTTGTTCTCTGTGCCGGAGAAGTTCTCCAACTTAGGTATTTGTGCACATCCGGCAATACAGATCACAATGAGAGGTGGTCTGCAGCGCAGCTGTTAACACTATAAAGAAACTGTTGTTGATATGATGGCTAAAAATAGAAAACGTTTTGCCATGAGCACACACGGCTGATGAGAGGACAATGGACCTTGGGACAATGAGAGAAGCCAGCAATCGTTTCGCAAATAATCTTGTAGCTTTAAAAATAGCCCGTCATTTCTAGAAGAAAGCAATACATGAGCAAGTGAAATAAACATTGTATCTTGTTATCTGCTTTACTTATACATTTCACTCATATATCTACGCATTGTATTCACTGTTCACAAATGATAATATGTAACAAGTCATAGACTAACAGCCTCCGCTGCTGCTATAACTCAATGGCCTAACGTCTCATCATTGCTCTCTGTTTCAGGTGAGCACCCGGCAGCGATGCAGCACAACTCCGCCAGATGCCGGCAGTGCGGCGGCTCTCCCCTGCTGGTGCTGGAGCTGGTGCTGCTGATGGTGTTGGTGCTGGTGAGCCACTCGATCCGCCGGTGAAACTGCGCCCAGGCCACCGGAGTGCGCAGTCAGCGGTCAGATCATGAGATGTGACAGTCCAAGTGACGGGACACTAGAGGACGGAGTGAAACATTGATCAGTGACGCAGTGACCGCAGCGCAATGACTGCAGCGGAGTGAGCAGTGAACTCGAGTGGGCGCTCCATTGGTCAACGGGCCGCTGACGTAATTATGACGTAACAGTCACGGCAGGGATGTCTGCGCCCGGTCCCTGCCGAGTGCCCTCTACAGCTATAGAAACTAGCTTATACATACGAAGCCCATTACACTCACTGAGCCATGCAAGTCTCCTGCGCTCCACGATATGTGCTGAATCTGCCATAAAACCTGATTACAAAGAAGGCGGACAACTGATACTCGAGCTCCGCTGTCCTGTTAATGTGCTGTTTGGTGTTCGGAGAAACTGTGGATCGTGAGAGATTGTGGAAGAGTGTGTTGCGAAATTCGAAAATGAACTAACGTACTGTGGTGATTGACTGCTCTCCCGTACTTTCGAGCCCTTCCCCACCCTGAGTCCGGAATGGTGAGAACTGGCAGTATGGTTCGATCGACTGAGAAGAAGCGTGGGCTGCCCTTTGAGCGCTCCGGTGGGGACAACTGGGCCGGCAATGGGAGGAAGCCGTGAACTCGGAGTTACGGCTGGTCTTACTATGTAGATAACTGAGACGCGCGGTGGGTAATAAGTGAGTGACTCAGCAGGTCTGGTCGGGAGAGACACGAGACAGTAGGCAACTGATGAGAAGTCGGTGAACATTCTACTGGGAGACAAATGCAAGGCAGCAGGAAGCGTTCTGTGTATGGCAGTGGTCGGCAGGTCATTCGGGGTCGTGCCCCCTTTTTGGGCGCCAGGCAAGGCCATTACCCCCACCTACCAGACCCCATTGCTGACACATTTAAGTTTACTGAAATTCCATACCGTCCTGGAACTCTTTGGGTATTTGTGCATTTCCAATGCATCAAATTTAAAACATGACACTTCCTCCACAAAAAATTTAATGCCTATATCCCAGTAGCGGCGGAACACCTTCAATTAAGGGGGAGGGCCGAGGGGGGAGCACTGCCGACTTTTGGTCCCATTCTTTCCATGCAACGCCCATAGGGCTAATGTTAAAATGCAAAAATCAAAGGGTGCACGGTGCCCCGGTGCCCTCCCCGTTCCGCCGCCTATGCTATATCCCATTTAACCCTTGTACGTATAGGGGCGGCGGGTGGTTTTTCGTTAAAAGCTCTTGTAAAAGGCATAGGATCACGACCAAATTGTACCCTCGAGCCCATCATTTTTTTTTTCACCAGCCCGGAAAATATCATGACCTGAGACCAGTTTTACCAACAGAAAAATAACCGCCTGCCGGAATTTTTGCCTCAAGACCGCTTCACATACGCGATACCGTAAACGCGATGGGCTCGTAAGCGGATAGGGCTTTACCGTTTACGCTCCATATGTGAAACGATCTTTAGGCAAAAATTCCGGCAGGCGGCTATTTTTCTGTTGGTAAAACTGGCCTCTGGATCCATAATGACCGTTGGCTTATGAGCTTTTTCTGGAGATCATCTTGAGCCATAAAATCTCACTTCAAGAAGTTATAGCGGGTCCCGATTTTCTCGACACTTATCATTGGCCTCTTGAATGAGACGGAATGACCAAGGACCTTAAAAAGGGGCAGCAGCGGCTTCCTATGGTCACGGGTAGCACGCTCGTCTTTTTTTATGCACAGCTCCATATCAGAGTCCGAGAGGCCGCGGGGTCCGATCGACTCCTCCCCCTTACGTTAGCGGCTGTTGAAACGCCAACAGACGGGCGACGGTTAAAAGTTGCAGCTGCTTTTGAACGACTGTACGGAGGGGTGAGATGGTGAGGCGAGCAGGTACGTGAAAATTGGTATCTAATCAATAGAGTGCTGTGCCTTTGGCCTGGGCTAATCTTTGAACCCTGGGATGCAACAGTCACGATGGCTCCATCACTGGAGCTACAAACTCTAAAAAGATAGGCTTTCTCAGAATCCCTCATTACCCCCACCGAAAGGGCTCCATTACCCCCAAAGGGGGCATGCCCCACCATTTGCCGACCCCTGGTGTATGGCGACTCGTGAGGCATCAGGACGCAATATGCAGAGAGACACTGACAGCATTAAGCATTCTGCGATGCGGTACTCGTGTGGCAGCGGCGAGTGCTGATGCATGCTCCTGAGACAGCAGTCAGCGTTCCGCTTATAGACCCGGATGCTCCACTGTATCCCAGAACGAACAGCGGGGGCCGCGCCATGTGCTGACATCGGCAACAATGGCAGATTGTGTATGTGTTCCGTATATATGCGTCAATGTAAAGTGGAAATCAATGGTATTTGTGGTATGGAAAATGGACAGAATTATGCTATAAGGACGCCGCCAAGTATGGATTCGGCAAACACTCGGCCGTCCTTAAATAGACTGAAAGTGTGCAATATGAAAAGTTAGATGTCAAATGAGACACGGTGTATGCAATGTATGTAAACAACATAAATACCCAGTGCAGTTTATCTATGACCGTCGCTAAATGAGAAATGCAAAACGCAACAAATAAACCAGAACGATGCATTGGCAAAATTGATTCATCTGCAGAAAATTTGTTTCTTTGCTTTCAGTGGAAGCGATTAGCACAAAGTTTTCACTTTGAAACTTGAAACTTGTTATTTTGTATGATAGAAGTGAATTTGAAATATTCCGTCAAATGTCAGGTTTTCAAGTTGATACGCATATCTTCCTCATCGATGGTTGTCCTTAACTACAATGTTGTTTCTCTGCTCTTGTTTAGAGGTTGGCTTAATTTCTATTTAGTCTCTGTTTTCGAAAATTTGAATAAACTTAGACCTTTCAATTGTTGAAAATGAGCAACTACATTTCCTTGTAAAATAGAATATTTTCACTAAGAAGAAAAACAGCCACAACACAGCATTACTTTCGTCGATCATAAATAACAATGTCGCTATAATTACAATTGTATGATATGTGTACGAGTATTGTGTATCGTAATAAAGTGACCGTTGCAAGTAACGAATGATGCGCAATGCGTGGAAGTTTTTGACGAATGCAATGGGGATTGGTCAGTGTGCGATGTGCGAAAGCCAGAAATGTGTTTGTTGTCTGTTGATTTGTGCCCAGAAAATTATGAGAACATGAGAGAGAATGAAATACAGCCACCCTATGTGAACTTTGTTTGTGCTATTATTGCCGTTAAGGACACCAATTAACCTGATTTTATCAAGATGTGGAGAAAATACTTGTCACACTTCATTTTCAAATCGACCTGCTACTTCATATAGGTACTGAGAAATGGTTAGTTCACCAGCAAACTAGTCATAAAATACTCAAAGTAGTCTGAATGGAAGTCTGATTCCGGCGTAAAGACAAACGTCCGCCATCCGTAAGCTATTGGATCTGGCCCGCTGTTTTATTACTGCGGTAGACCACACAAGGCATTTTCAGAGGCTGAGACAAATGAGCGAAATAAATAATAAAGGAGTTCCATTGCTGATAAATGCAAGTACGCTGCAATTGACTGGCTTGATGTCAAATACAATACAGTTTCCGGCACATGATGCTATAATGAACTCTTGTTTTCTTTCTGTAAATATTTTTCCCGTCCTGTTCGCTCTACATCTCCATTCTCCATGTCTTTTTCTATTTATCTCTCTTCTTCACTCTCTCTCTCTCTCTCTCTCTCTCTCTCTCTCTCTCTCTCTCTCTCTCTCTCTCTCTCTCTCTCTCTCTCTCTCTCCCTCTCTCTCTCTCTCTCTCTCTCTCTCTCTCTCTCTCTCTCTTTCTCTCTTTCTCTTTCTCTTTCTCTTTCTCTTCCTCTCGCTCTCCGTCTCTCTATATCTGTCGCTTTCTCTCTCTTATTTGTTGCATAGTTTGATTTTATCTGTTGATGTTTCCTGAAGTACAATGAAGAGGTTTCGTGTGGCTCTGAACGAGCCATCAAGACGGCCTGCTGGGCGGAAAATCAGCACCGGGACCGAATACAATAATTTCTGGCGGCCCGTTAGCAGAATAAATCAAGAATCAAGAATCAAGAATCAAGAGTCAAGAATTCAGTTTCATGAATATCGCTATCGACATCCGCTTTGTTGTAAGCGATAACTCATAACGAATTAACAAATGCAGAAACCAATAAGGCGATGATAAATAAAACATTTCTTCCAATACGATGCCGGATAATTAAATAAAGACATAAACATACGGTGGCTGCATTTGACATGACACGAGCGTCGCATCCAATTAATATCGCGGGTTTTTGGTGTAAGGGAGAGTGAGGTAATTTGGCCGGTGGTGTAAATTGGCCGCCCCTACCTGTACGAAAGCTGATAAAAGTGAATGAAATAACTTTAGTCTCTATTCATTTGTCATCGGCAGAACTAACTCGAGAACAAATGTCAAAACATTCCCCCTCTTAGTTTTATTCAAAATTAATAAAAGGTGAATTACGTTAGAAAATGGTAACTTTTACTTCCGTTTAAAAATTTGTATAACATGTAGTATTTGGGCTGTAAACGAATTCGAACATTATAGCGCCATTTTTGAGGGTGTTCAGCGGTTCCAAGAGCAATTTCATCTAGTTCTGTACAGCCATGACGACTTTATAGACAAAAATTTTCAGAATGGCAATGTGGGGTTATTTGGCCGGGGCTAGCGGGGCAACTTGGCCGGTGCGCTCGGAGTCACTATGCTGGGTCGGCAGAGTTGTCATGGTCAACTATACCATAAAGGACATAATTCATGACCAACTTTGACTACCTTGATGCCATATTTCCTATTGGACAGCTGTAAGGGCATGTGACGTCATCAAAGGTCACCTAACGCTTTTTTACTAATAAATACTTACAGTAAAAAGATACAGCCGTGCAAATGGTCTCATTGTGTTCAACTCGTCAAGGCGCATCGAATGATATACATGATGACCTTGAACTCACGTAACCTTGAGGTCAAGCGACCTGAGGTAACGTGACCTGAAGCCAACCTTGATCTTGACCTTGACCTTGACCTCTCGAGGTCAACACATACATGTTTCGATGCGAAATGACGAGAGAATTACGATGGTACTTTTAGTTTTGGCCTAACTTGATTATTTCAAAAGTTATTCGTAAAAAACTGTCATCGCATCTAGAGCCGCTATTTTGACTATTTTCGACCCCTGTGACGGCTGAGTCAACCTCCAAAATGCTTCAAATGCGTCGTAGGACAAGCGTCATTGCTGAATGTGAAGCTGACTTGCCTATAACAAAAATCATGGCCTCAAAGTAACACCGGCCAAATTGCCCCACACCCCCGGCCAAATAACCCTGCTAGTGGGGTAATTTGGCCGCTTTGCAGACCTTTCTAATACGCCACAATTTCAATATAAGTAGTTACTCAATCATTTCAAGCTTACAGTCCAAGGAAGTAAAATGTATGCCACACCTGTCAGCGTTGAGAAAATGCAGAAATGTGTTGTCGATTTTTAGTTACATCGTTTTCTAAAAAAAGCGGCCAAATTACCCCACTCTCCCCTATCCGTTCAGGGCAAACTAATGCTATAAAAAATGGCTGTCATTGGTAAACAAAACCTTCATTGCTTTTATCTTTTTAGAAAAGCATAAATGTACGGATAGTTTCACTGTTCACATATGGCCAACGGTAGCCTAACATCAAACATGCGAAATGAAGAATCAGAATCGAAAATGTTGTAACGAAAAAAGAAAAGAGGGTCATTAAGATTGCAGTATGGAAGGTGAAATAAGACCGACAGCTATTCTCTCCTGTTGATTATGAATGTTATCAAGCTTGTGAGAAGTATACGGAACGTCTTTATAAAAAGCGAAGAAAAAATGAAAGAACTTGTAGACTTAAATTCTAGTTTTAATTTAAATATATCGTCTGGCAAAAAAAAAAAA